TCATTAGTCATCAGGAAAATACAAATTGAGACACTATTTCACACCAACCAGAATGACTCCACCCCTGCCCAAAAAACAAGTTTAAAAACAAAATGTTGGCAAAGATGTGGAACAATTACAACTCATATTCCTACAAGTAGCATATAAAATGATTTAACCACCTTGGAAAATCATTCCTCATAAAGTTAAACTATATCTAAACCTATGATCCAGTGACCTTCACTCCTAGGTATTTAAATAAAGGAAATGAAGACATATGTCCACAAAAAAACTTGTAGAAGAATATTCACAGCAGTTTCATTCATAAAAACCAAAAACTACACATCACCCAAATACCCATCAACGGTTGTGTGGGTCAATATATCATGATATTTTCATACAGTGGAATACTAAGTAATAAAAAGAAACATACTACTGACATACTTAACATGAATCTATCTCAAAAACAATATACTGAGAAGAAAACAAAGCCCAAGAACAAGTAAAACAAATCTATGGCATTAGAAATCAGAAAATGACTAAAAGGGAACCTCAGTGTGCTGTGGGGGGGGAATGTAAATTGGTGCAGCTTCTATGGAAAACAGTGTGGAGGTTCCTCAAAAAATTTAAAATAGAACTACCACATGATCCAGCATTTGCACTTCTGTGCATTCATCCGAAGAAAATGAAAACACTAACTCAAAAAGATATCTGTACCCCCATGTTCGTTATAGCATTATTTATAATAGCTAAACATAGAAAAAAATGAAGATTCATCCACTGATGGATGAATGGAGAAAATGTATTTTATATATATATATATATATGTATTTTATACATATATATATGTATTTTATACATATATATAAAATGTATTTTATATATATATGTATAAAATACATTTATATATATTATATATAATATATATGTAATATATGTATATGTATATGTATATACATATATATGTAATTATATATATATTATATATATATAATTAAATATTATTCAGCCATAAAAACAAAGGAAATCTTGTGACAACATGGATGGACCTTGAGGGCATTATGCTAAGTGAAATAAGTCATACAGAGAAAACAAATACTATATGATCTTATTTATATGTGGAATCTAAAAAAAAAAAAACAAGCTCATAGATACAGATAACAGATTGGTGATTGCCAGAGGTGGGGGGTGAGAGAAATGGGTGACAGGGGTCAAAACGTACAAACTTCCAGTTATAAGATAAATAAGTCCTGATGTTATAATATGCAGCATGATGACTACAGTTAATACTACTGTATTTGCATGTTTTAAAGTTCTAAGAGAGTAGATCTTAAAAATTCTCACCACAAGAAATTCTATTCAAAACACACTACGGAGTGAAAAAGCAAACCCCAAGAGAAGCAGAATCTATCTGCATTACATAGAATGGACAGTGTGCATGTAGCCAGAATATTGAGACTCCTACACATCGACAAGAAAAAAGTCTGATAGAAAGATGGGTAAGAGATTTGAAAATATATTTCATAAAAGAGAATACACAGTGGCGCCTGGGTGGCTCAGTTGGTTAAGCGTCTGCCTTCAGCTCAGGTCGTGATCCCAGGATCCTGGGATTGAGCCCCACATTGGGCTCCCTACTCAGCGGGGAGCCTGCTCCTCTCTCTCCCCCTAACCCTCCACCTGACTTGTGCTCTCTCTCTCTCTCTCTCAAATGAATAAATTAAATCTTTTTTTAAAAAAAGAGAGAATACACAAATGGCCAACAAATACATGAAAAGTTCAACCACATTAGCTATCAGCGAACAGCAAATTAAAACTACGAAGTGAAATACCACTATGAGCAGAGTATAATGACTTAACTTTAAAAAACTGACAATATCAAGTATTAGTAAGTATGTGAAGAAAGTAGAACTCCCACCGCTGTTGAGAGGAATCTAAGGTGGCAGACCTACTTTGGAAAAGTCTTTAGTGATATCTGCTATAACTGAATGTTCCACTCACAGGTATTCATCCAACAGATAGATATACCAAAGATAGGAAATAGCCCCAAACTGGACACAACTTAAATATCCATCAACAGAAGAGCTAAAATATTATGTATTCAAACAATGGAATTTTATCCAGCAATGAAAATGAACACGCTACTTTTACACATAACAATAAAATAATGCTGACTGAAAGAAGCCAGATATACATACTGATTCCATTTGTGTAAGGTTACGATCAGGCAAAACTCATGTATGATGTTAGAAGTAAGCGTAATGGTCACACAGGCAGAAGAACTGGGCAGTGAACGGAAGGAGTACAAGGGAGGCTTCTGGATGCTGCTAATTGTTCTATTTCCTGATCTGCAACGTGGTTACAGGGGTATGTTCACTTTGTGAAAATTGATTGAGCCAACCTCTCAAACCACCCACTCCAGCTCATTGTATTCTACCCACACTAGCCTTCTTTCTGGGCTTCAGAAATGGTGCACGTTCCCATCTCAGGACCTCCGCGTGCCTGCTACCCAGGACACAATTCAGACCACCAGCACTGGTTTCTTCCACCCTCGAGGTTCTGGCTCTCTTTCAAGAGGCACTCCTTGGCCAAAGTGCTCTCCCATGCCCTGTAATCACCCCCCTCCCCTACCGCTAGTCTCCATTGTTCGTATCGCTGTCAGAAATTATGTCGTCTATAAACTTACACACTTGTTCATTGTCTGCTCCTTCCACTAGAGATATTACACCTGGGAGTAAATCCCCTTGTCTGGCATGTTCCCTGCTGTCACCCCAGGCCCAAGAGCACGGCCTGACAGAGAGTGCATGTCTAATAAATCTCTGTCAGATGAATGAACGTCACGAATGCACTAAGCAATGTCTTCTGCTATGGGGTACATCAAGATACAGGCTTGGAAAGGAAAAAAAAGAAGAGGAGAAGATAAGAAGAGAAGTATGCACAGTCGTGTAAAGCACAATAGTACCTCTGGTGCCACTCAAAGCATAAAGCAGATTAGACCCCTACCTTGATGGAGGTGATCTAATAAAGCCTAGGAAATGATGCAGGCATTTTCCCCACGCTAGCTCCATGAGAAATACTGCAAAACATGGAAGGTCTAGTGCCTCAAAGAATCTGCCTTCAGGAAGGTTCTGACCTAAGCATTAATGACTTATTCTAGGCCTGATCTTAATTTAATAACTTTAATTAATGACTGATTTTAATGCTTCAGTTATGCAAGGAAGTAATTCCTGCACCTCAGTTCTTGCTTTTCTGTAAGTATTTTTCTATACTTAGAAAACTATAATATGGACTCACACCAAAGGAAATATCCTGAGTTTTCTAGCTGAGATGAAATGAAAAAAAACAACAAAAACCTTTTTTCAGTGTAGAGTGCCCTTCTTGCCTCATAACCTAATTTCTTCTGTTGTTATTTTGAGATGTGGCAGAGAGAAGAGGCATAGTAGAGAGGGAGGCGGGGGGCATGAACAGGCATGAGGCGGGAGGGTTGTGGTATCTGACACCCCGGGAAAATGAGGTGCAATTCTCAGCTACATCTCCTCATCCCGGGAGCCACACCTAGCAGAGTGCTGGGAGCAAGGTGAGTATTCAGTAGGTACCTAATGAATGAACATTCTTCCTAACAACAGTTTTTGTTTTGTTTTTGTTTTTTCCCAACAACAGTTTTAATTAAGAGATTGATGGAACTTCTTAAAGAAGCAGGCTTAGTAGTGTCTTGGTTTCTGTTTCCTAATCCTAATTTACTTAACTTTAGTGAGCAATTAGTACAACAAGCCCCTGGCAGATATACAGCACCAAGCTTCATGCTCTAGGCACACATAAAGCAGAGGAAACCCTCACTGAGAATGTGATAAAGAATAAATCTCTATAATAATAGGATTACTTTATTTGTATCTCATAGGCCAACCCTAGGAATCTCTGTCTTCTTAATGATCCTGTTCTTGGTATTTTTTCTTGTGTATTCATTACACTTCTATTTCATTCTTTGAAGCAAAGATATAAATTCACATTTCCAGCACTGTGTTCTTATCTCCTCCCCCCACCCCCTCACAACCCCTGGGGCCGGCAACTGAAGCAGTTTCCTCAGCAGGATTCTTCAAATCCTTTTAACCATTTCAGATGCTTATGACTTACTTAGAGCATCTTTTCTGTGAAAGTCACAATCATTTGTTTCTCACCAACAGAAAGAGATTAAACGGGAAAAGAAATTAATTATATAAAAAAGAATGCTATTCAAGATACAGCTATCACAGCATAAAAAGAAAAAAATAAAATTTCTTAATAAGATATAATTGATAATATTTTAGAGCTGGACCCAAATCAGCTAGTGCTAATTTCATCTCCTCATTTTATTAATGGATAAATCAGTGGTAATTTCTAAAATTTTATGGGACAACCAGAAAGAATCGTTCTTTTAGGAGTTAAATCTCTCCACCTTATGGGCTGGGGTTTGACAAATAGTTCATGCATATGCGAATGAATGAATGAATGAATGAATTTATAAGTATTCTTCCAAATAACGGTCATAAAGCCATTTAGTGGCATGGCCAGGACTAAAACCCAGTTCTCTTTTTTCTTCCTTGGTAACTCGTAAGTTGCAGCTACTTTAGCAGTTTAGTTCGTTGTCAGGAAAGCGGCAATGTCACCCAAATCACTGACGGACCTTAGTTGTGGTTTTTTTCATTCTGCTTTTAGACACGCAAACAAAAGAAAAGAATGAAAAGTGTCAAGTAGGATGACATAAGAAAATTGCACTGTAGCCAGATCACACATAGAAAATGACAGAAAAAAGGTAGGCAGAGATGGCTCTGTGATTTTCTTCTCTCACCTGATCTGAGAGATAAAAAAGGTACAAAGTTAGAATGCATTAGCTGTCAAATCAACAATATTCCATTAGAGGCACAGACTTCTCTCACAGTGCAGCCATTTTATGAGCACAGGCTTGACACAGTCCACAGCCAGGAGAACACGACGTAGAAATGATCAGAACCAAGGACATAATATGGTAACGGAGGCCATATACTTACTCTTCCAGGAAGTGCTGCTGGGGTCCTATAATGGAGCCTGGCCGGCATATTCTGATCCAAGCAATTATTTCAGCGTGTGTAAACCTGTAGTGTTTCATGACATAACAGGCTATCAACGTCCCTGTTCTTCCAAGACCAGCTGCAAGAAAAGGAAACAGACCAAGAAAGACAAATATAGCAAAGGTACTCACAAAAATCCCAAAATCAAACCCTGCCCAGAAACTGCAATGGTTTCAAGTAAAATGCAAGTGTTGTAAACCCAGACAATAACATAATGCTTTTCTACATGATGTGGGGTTAAAAGATAATTCTAACTCAAGAAATCTTCTAAAAACAGATCATAGAATTAAAATAAGCCTATGTAAGAACATAGACAAATCAGAGCAAGGGTCTTGAAAAAAGATCAGGCTCAACCCCCAGGGGCCTTTGGGGATGCCCGTCATTGTGGATATTGTTAAAGCAATGGGGCTTCCATGACAAGCACTTGCAAAATATCACCTGTCGGGTGTCTTCACCCTCCCCACCTTGGACCCCAGCCCAGGCTGAGATGAATCTACAGTTAATAGTTTGTCTGTGTGACCTCTGAGTCAGCCGTGTAACTGATTATATTATCATGGCCCATTTATAGCTTGTTTAAATGGTTAGGGTGGTTTTTTTTTTTTAACTTATTGTAGAATAAGGAATCATAGAATCAAAGTTGGAAGACACCATGGATGTCACCAAGCCTCATCAACTCCCTAGCCCACAACTGTTTCAATACTACCTTTATCAGATGGTCATCCAACCTCCCTGTCACTCCATCAGACCCCAGGATTTCATGATTTCCTCAGTCAGTAGGTACGGATGGAGTACCTACGACCTGCCAGGTACTGTGCTAGGAGCTGGGGGCACGGTGACAAATAAAAGAGATATTGCCCCTGCCCTTGGGAGAGTACACAGTCCACTGAGGAAAAACAAAGCAAACAGAAGTGCTCAAATTTCATTTCCCCAGGCTCCTTCATTTTCTAAGAACTTTGGTGTTAGCTTATGTTCTTTATGTTGAATGCACACACTGTTACATAAGATTAAGTAATACAGTTAGAAATGACTTTCAAAAAAATGACTTTCAATGAAATACTGGTTATTATCATGAGCTCTGATTTCTTCAAAGTGTTTTTACCAATTGCTGTATTTTTTACCCTCTCTCCAAAGAAGTAACAGTGATAGGACTTAATTTGCATTTTAGCCAATCTTTTTTAAGAAATGCACACTGATTTCCTCCTTTTGCAAAAATATTCAAAAACTTTATCAACCCATAGGTTCTTGATAAGTGGTGGTTGTTCACATACCAGAACAACGGAGGCCCACCAATCAACTGACTCATATAACAAGAGAGTACGGAATTCAGGACTAAAATTCCCCCATGGTCCTGATTCTCATCCCAGAATTCTTTCCACTCTTGGCTCGCATCCCGTCACTCATCTTACAGGTACTGATTGAGACTGACTGTGTACAAGCCACCGTGAAAGATCTAGAAACAGAAATATGAAGACAAGCAGGATGCCTGCCCTCAGGAAGTATATAGGACTGAACCAATAATGTTCATTTACAAGCATTTTCTAAATCTTTCCATATCTGGCTTCTTGGTGTTAGACTTAGTACTGTAAATTTTTATTTACATATCACCCATGAGCAAAGCAGTATGCAGAGTTATTTTTCCACTACTTAAAAATCTGTTTGTATCATACACACTTTTTTTTTTAAGATTTTATTTATTTATTTGTCAGAGGGGGAGCATGTGAGCACAACTAGGGGGAGCGACAGGCAGAGGGAGAAGCAGGCTCCCTGCTGAACAAGGAGCCCAATACAGGACTCGATCCCAGGACCTTGGGATCATGACCTGAGCCAAAGGCAGACGCTAACGTGCTGAGCCATCCAGACGTCCCTATACTTTTTCTTATAGAAGAATAAAGTGGCTCTGGGGTGCCTGGGTGGCTCAGTCGGTTGAGCATCCGGCTCAGGTCATGATCTCATGGGTCATGAGATTGAGCCCCATGTCAGGCTCCATGCTCAGCAGGGAGTCTGCTTGAAGAGTCTCTCCCTCTGCCCCTCTGTCCACCTGCACTCACACACTCTCTCTCTCTCAAATAAACAAATCTTTAAAAAAGAAAAGAAAAAGATGGGGCGCCTGGATGGCTCAGTCGTTAAGCGTCTGCCTTCAGCTCAGGTCATGATCCCAGGGTCCTGGGATCGAGCCCCGCATTGGGCACCCTGCTTGGCGGGAAGCCTGCTTCTCCCTCTCCCACTCCCCCTGCTTGTGTTCCCTCTCTCTCTCTGTCAAATGGATAAATAAAACCTTTAAAAAAAAAAAAGAAAAGAAAAGAAAAAGAAAGTAGTTCTGTCTTTAAACATTAAATTCAGCTAGTCAAATGCTTATTCAAGATTCTCAGGACAGGGTTCTGCTCATAGGACAAGGATATAAGCAAGTATAGGATATAATTTTTGACCATGATGAGTATCAGAGCAGTTGCAGAGTATTAAGCCAGAAACAATAACAAAGAAATGGGAAAGATAACAACAACAAAGAAACTGGGCTCTCAGAGAAAGTGGGGGATGCTGTGTGAGCCTCTGGTGTCTTCAAAGAATGTGTCATTGCTGACACGGATTTTAGCAGACTCTAAAGAATAGGAAGGTCACAGAATATTTTCAGCAAAGGGTGTGATGAATGAAAGCTTGGCTGAAGAATGTGGCAGTGTGTGTCGAGTGCAGAATAAGGTCGGATGGGTGGAAAAGGCCAGAAAATAGAGTACCTCTGAGTCAAGTGGAAGGGCCCGAGCTGAGGTGAAGTAGATTCCAAGTTGTGGACCAAAGACACAAAGGACCACTGAGTTATAATTACGAGTCTCCAGAGCCAGGTCCACCGTGCTCTGAGTACCAGTTAAGTCACATCTCCTGGGTGTATGCATTATTACTCCTCAAATATATGTAAATGATGCTTTGATGAACAAAATTCAACTCATTTTAAAAGTATTAAAGAATTCATGATATTATCAATAGCTAATAAACGTACAACTGCTATTATGTAAAAAATCTGTATTTTTTCCTTCAACCAATGTAAAGGGCAAAATAAAGTTGCCATGTATTTGGGGGCAAGAAAGTACCATGATAAAAGCAGATGCTCAGGAAGCAGCACACGGACAATGTTGGCAAGTACAGAGAGGGGAGCCAGGGAGCAGCTAGGAGGCTGGGGCAGGAGGGTGAGGTGGGCAGGAGGGCGAGGCGGCTGGGAGGGGCACAGATGGGCTGGATGGACCTTGGTGATAAAAAGGAGGAGCTGAATTAGAAAGACACTTGGACAGAGTCACAGGGAAAGTCAAAGATGACTGGTATTTCTGGCCTGGAAAACTGGTCCAAGGTCAATTTCATCTGTGAAAACATTTAGTTAGAAAAGGAAACGGGAAAGTTGACAGCTTTGTTTTTAATATGCTTAAGAATCTTTTCCCCCCGGGGCGCCTGGGTGGCTCAGTCGTTTGTTAAGCGTCTGCCTTCAGCTCAGGTCATGATCCCAGGATCCTGGCATCAAGCCCCGCGTCAGGCTCCCTTCTCCACGGGAAGCCTGCTTCTCCCTCTCCCACTCCCCCTGCTTGTGTTCCCTCTCTCACTGTCTCTCTCTAGTTCTGTCAAATAAATAAATAATCTTTAAAAAAAAAAAAAAGAATCTTTTCCCCCAAAAGAGGAGCCCTTTTGTCAGCTTTGCTGGTCAAATAATAAAGAGTATCTTCTCTAATCTCTTCAGTACTTCGAAATACACAGTGTCTCCCCAAATCTAAGATACCATCAAGTCGCCTAACAGTGTGATATGCACCATTATTTAAATTCCACCTAAGTAAGAAAAAATTATACTATGACATGCTACCCATTTTCAGATCCACCCTAGTTCCATAAATGTGAAAGTATGAAAAGCAGTCTCTAAATCAGTGTTTCTCAATCTTTTTTTCCTTATTGCCTCCTCTAAGAGCCTCTTTAAGACATTTTTCCTGATCGTCTCCCATGAAATGTTAGTGCACAGTATACTGCATATCTCTATGTACGGTAAGTAAATCTGTGCTTTATACAGAAAAAGAATGGTTCCTCCCCACCCCAACCCCTGCAAAACAAACAAACAAACAAACAAACAAAAAAAACAATTCTCCCTTCTTGGAGGCAATAAAGGCAGGTTGAAAAGACACATCAAAATGCAAATGAGGGGCACCTGGCGGGCTCAGTTGGAGGAACATGTACTCTTAATGTCAGGATTATGAGTTCGATCCCCATACTGGTGTAGAGATTACTTAAAAACAAAACCTTTATTAAAAAATGCAAATAAAATTACAACCAAGCTCATGTTTACAGATGCTTGACATTCCCTTCCCATTAAGCCTTCCTTTTTAAAAATTATATTTACAATATTTTATTAGATGAGGGGTGTGTGTGTGTGTGTGTGTGTGTGTGTAGCCTGTTTCCATCTGAAGTACATTTTGCCCCAGATCAAACATCAACATTCTTTAGAAAAGAGTAAAATTTAATTGTGGTCTCAGTGGGGCTCTTCCTTTAACATTAGAGTGAAGAGCAATTTGCCTTTCTGTTTCTGTCCAGAGCAGATGCTCTCTGCCTCTGCAGCGTTGTTAACTCTCAGACATCTGACAAGACTATAGGTAATCCTGTGCATAAAACACAGCGGAGACATCCTGCTGTAGGAACCTCAGTAGGAACCTGCGTAGCAGCCAGCGCGCAAGGACTTTCTAGAGTCCCTCCTTGGAGTCTCCTCTCTGTCTGGAGAGGAGATGGTCTTTCTGGAGGCAGCCCTACCTCTCACTGCTCCCCTCCCTGTGCAAAGAAGGGGCTGTCCCATTCCCTCGGCTAGGCTCCTAGTCACACACACAACCAAAAAAGGTGGTGCAGAAAATTTTCAAATTTCTCTGAAACTAAAGTTGCTTCCCCCTTTTAAAAAGAGTCTATAATTTAGATCTATAAAAAGAACGTACTTAGCACTCAATAGTTAGGAGCTCTTACCACAATTCAACAGAATAGGAACATTTCACTAAGTTTCTATAAAAACTTTAACAAATTTCTTAAAGCGCTCATAATTAAAGGGCTCCCTGACACAGCAAGACAAGACGTTGAAAAGTACTCTATTTATACCAAGTTAAATGCTGATTCCCTTGTAGTTCCAGGCATTTTCTGATGTCCTACAGAATATCAACAATCACATACCAGAACATCACTGTGTTCCCATTTTTTTAAATTATTATTTGTGCTAGAAATTTTCAAAAACAAATCATAGCCATCCCTTTTATCAACCAGAAGGTGAACTATAGACACTGGATCATTGGTAAGATTTCACCCATTCCCAGCAAATCAATTTCTAGTTTGTCTCTCTATCTAGCACTTTATGTTGAGGCATGACATCTTCATTCCCTTTCCAGCAGCTACTGAAGTTCATGTGGCATAGGATAAGATTCTCTCTCCCTCCTCCTTGTACTTCAGTTAAAATGCTCAGTGATGCTTCAATTCCCAGAAAATTAAACTGACTTAATTAGGGCAGATGTCAAAATAATTAACAGGCCTCTAGCAGATAAGTATGCTATTAAAAGCAATACAGCTGTAATTAAACGGAAGGTGTAATCTTTATAAAGGAGTCCTACATGTGTGTACAAGTGGAAGCAAATGAAATAACATTACCCAAAAGATGTCACCACATGTGAATGTGACCTTCCCATACAAGAACTCACCTCAGTGCTAATGGTTCTGATTTTAAATAATAATATATAAACCTCTGCAGTATAAAATACATACACACACAACTCATATACCCATACTGTATTTTTTTAAATGTTAACATTCACAAACCTAGGATATAATACAGAGAATACCTGTAATAAGAATGTTGAACATCAGAGAGTTTCATTTTTATAATTTCAGTTAGGTGAGAAATGCTATCAAGAGAGATGCAGACACCCAAAAGAAAATGAAAACACTAATTCAAAAAGATATATGCACCCCTGTTTATTGCAGCATTATTTACAATAGCTAACCTAAGTGTCGATTGATAGATGAATGAATAAGGAAGTATATATATAGAGAGAGAGATGTATATGTATATATGTATATATAATGTAATATTACTCAGCCATAAAAAAGAATGAGATTTTGCCATTTGCAACAACATGGATGGACTTAGAAGGTATTATGCTAAGTGAAATATGTCAGATGGAAAGACAAATGAAATACAATTTCACTTATATGTGGAATCTAAGAAACAAAAAAAAAGAAAGAAAGAAAGAAAAAGCAGAAACAGACCCATAAATACAGAGAACTGGTGGTTGCCAGAGTGGAAGGGAATGAAGGGAGGGACAAAATGGGTGAAGGGGAGTGGGAGGTACAGGCCTCTAGTTATGGAATGAATAAATCACAGGAATAAAAGGCACAGCATAGGGAATATAGTCAATGGTATTATAATAGCGTTGTATGGTGACAGATGGGAGCTGCGCTTGTGGTGAGCACGGCATAATGTATAAACTTGTCCCATCACTATGTTGTACACTTGAAACTAATGTAACATTGTGAATCAACTATACTTCTGTTAAAAAGGGAAAGATACTGAGTTTTAATGACAGTTTTGCATTTCTTCTCCCATGAATTTGTCAATCCAACATATGACACGCAGATAAGCTCTAAGACTTGGTAACCATAAAATTAATCGACTAGGAAAAAAGGCCCAATTTCTGGGAGGAAAAATACTAATTTTGTGACACAAAAATAAACTTTGCAAAAGAGCGCACAAACATCTCCTACTAAAGGTTGGTAGCTGCTACAGTCCCATTAGCTCTCAAGGTCCACTGATACTTGAAATGTGCGCAATGCTGGCTTTTTCCCGGGCCTGGGCAATCTTGAACAAAATGAGCTGGAAAGGCAAAGTCAGAGCGCAAATGGACCCCATCCAGGGCAAGCCAGCTCCCCACCACTCCGCTGTGACCTGATGAGAACTGAAAGAAAGCACTCTCTGGATGAGAGAACAAGACACCTTCCTAGCCCGACCCCCCCCAACACACACACCCCCTCCTCGGAGAGCTAGGACGTCCTGCACGCCGGGCCCCATCCGGCTAAGAAACGCGAAGAGGAGGGGTGGCGGCGGCTCGGCTGAAGCGGACGGAGCCCTCACAAGGAGCCCTCAGCCGAATCGCGGCCACGTGCGTCTCTCCGGGTCTCTGGCAAAACGCAGCTTCCCGTTGCCGCTCACATGGCAGCCAAGTACCTCCACCCACTCAAATCTTAAACATAGAAACAAAGGCCTACAAAATGGTATTTTAATTTCTGTCAGAACCGAAGCCATGCTCGTCTGAGTAAGTCAGTTACAGCAGCACCAGGCACTTGGAAAGAACAGTACAATCCCCAACACCTACTAGGCAATTAGCATAAACTCCACAGAAACTAGTGATCAGACTCAAAGTCGTGAGAGCAGCGCCACCCAGTGGCAGGAGGAGATGCTGCGTGCGAGGAACTAGCCTCCATCCCAGAGTGGCCGGGGATTGTTTCCTGTCACTCCAGTCAAAGACCCCAGTAAGAGACCTCCATCCAGGGCTGGAAACTCTAAAACGGGATTTGACCCTCCTCAGAGTCTAACAACTAGGCTTGGAGAACATGTTATTTCACATTTTCTGAGTAGCCATCACGAGGTTGCCAGCTAAAATGCAGAATGTATGTTCCGGGACATATTCGAAACATACTAAAAAAGTATTCATTGGTTTGTCAAAAATTCAAATTTGACGAGGCGTCCTGTATTTTTATTTACTGAATCTGGCAACCTTAGGGCCCCTGTAGTCTGAAAGACCCCTGCCTGAGGAAGTACCCACCCCTAGAGAGCAGAGATTCGTTTATATAACCCAGTCTTTACATAACCAAGTTCACGCAAAGAAACGGTTAACACATCTGCAGCAAGCAAGCTCGCCAGCGACCCCAGCACGCTGCCATCCGCTGGCAATGGGCAGGGAAGACACTCTGGTCCCTTATGCAAAAGACCAGCGAGGGAAGCGGGGAGTAGAGGGCAAAATGGGGCCCAGACGGCTGGGTCCTAAAATGGGAGCACTGAATAGCACATGGGTGGAGGAGGGTAGAGAGGAGATTGGCAATTCTGGAAGAAAAAGAGGGGGGAAACTGCCTCTTGACAACTGTACCCAGTCAGGGTACTCCTGCCGACCCACAGACGGGGCCATGTGGCGATTGCCCGGCGTCCGCGGGCAGGATCTGGGTGAGGTAAGGCCGGGGAAAGGCAGACCTCCGCGGATTACCCGCATCCAAGCAAGCCTCGCCTCGCGAAGGGGCTATTTAAATGGGTTTGTGTTCCAGTGTTCTCAGACCAACAAAAGCACTCGTGGCCCCTTTCGGCCGCCACTGGCTGGTTTGGCTCTGCACGACTGGCAGCTTTCGGCCGGGTGCCCTTCCAGAGCGGCCGCCGCGGCCGCACGCACCTTTGCAGTGAACCGCGATCGCCCCGTCCGTGTTCTCGCAGATGTTGAGGAACCTCCGCACGATGTTGTCGCTGGGCGTGCTGCCGTCGAGGAAGAACAGGTCGTAGTGCTCGAAGCCCGCGTCTGTGAAGCGCTTCGCCTCGTAAACCTTTTTGTTCAGCCTCACGACGGCCGTCACGTTGTGCTTTTTGAAATAAGGAAAGTAGGCTTCAGGGGCGTGAAGAGGATAGCCTGAAGGGAAAACGGAGCTGTGAGCAAAAGGCGCGCGTTTCCCGACACCCAGGAGCGCCAGAACCCTTCACGGCCAAGTGTATGAACCTCCACAGAGCTTCCGAGGAAAGGGCATCTCCTGAGAGAGTAGGAAAGAGGTGGAAGCACTTTCCTGAAGCAGCAGCCGGAAGAGCCGCGCGCACACACACACACACACACACACACACCCAGGAGCGGGGAGAAAACCCTACTCTGGATATTGGAAGTCGCTCATGAAAATCCGAAACCTCTACCCATAGGATTCAAACCCTGGGAGCATACACTCCTCCCAAGCCAAAACAAAGGCGTCCGGGGGCCACTCAAAGGTCGAAGGTGGGGGCGCCTGGGTGGCTCAGTTGGTTAAGCGACTGCCTTCGGCTCAGGTCATGATCCTGGAGTCCTGGGATCGAGTCCCGCATCCGGCTCCCTGCTCGGCGGGGAGTCTGCTTCTCCCTCTGACCCTCCCCCCTCTCATGCTCTCTATCTCTCATTCTCTCTCAAATAAATAAATAAAATCTTAAAAAAAAAAAAAAAGAAATTTATGAATCACATTGAAAATAATAGTTTATGGGGCTCCTGGGTGGCTCAGTCGGTTAAGCATCTGCCTTCGGCTCAGGTCATGATCCTGGAGTCCCGGGATCGAGTCCCGCATCGGGCTCCCTGCTCGGCGGGGAGTCTGCTTCTCCCTCTGACCCTCCTCCCTCTCATGTGCGCTCTCTCTCATTCTCTCTCAAATAAATAAATAAAATCTTAAAAAAAAAAATTTATGAATCACATTGAAAATAATAGTTTATGGGGCTCCTGGGTGGCTCAGTCGGTTAAGCATCTGCCTTCGGCTCAGGTCATGATCCTGGAGTCCCGGGATCGAGTCCCGCATCGGGCTCCCGGCTCAGCAGTCTGCTTCTCCCTCTGACCCTCCCCCCTCTCATGTGCTCTCTCTCTCATTCTCTCTCTCAAATAAATAAATAAAATCTTTAAAAAAAAAAAAAAAAAAAGGTCAAAGGTGCCCAGGAGGCCTGCTGGCATGATTCTTTGTGCTTTTTCTTCCACTTGACAAATACTTTTAAGATTTTATTTATTTATTTGACAGAGAGAGACAGCAAGAGAGGGAACACAAGCAGGGGGAGTGGGAGAGGGAGAAGCAGGCTCCCCACCAAGCAGGGAGCCCCATGTGGGGCTCGATCCCAGGACCCTGTGATCATGACCTGAGCTGAAGGCAGCCGCCTAATGACTGAACCACCCAGGCGCCCCAACAAATACTTTTCAACTACAGTTAAAGCCCTTGTGCTGGGTGAGTCGTTTCACTCTATAGTGCAATCCCCCACAAAAGAGAGGAATAATTATTAAGCACCTACCACGTCTAAGTCACCATTGTATATCATTTCTTTTAATTCTCCAAACAGCCTGTTAAGGTAAGAATAGTAAACCCCATTTAACAGATGGAGAAACTAAAAAAGTTGAATGATTTTTTGGTAGACATTCTCATTGGGGGAGGCACAGCGGTACAGATGGTCAGCCCCTAAACCGCCTTCCGTTTCCAGTGGATCCAGCATCGTGTGAGTATTCCTGGGAGCTACAGAGTCAGCTGGGTTACAGATATGCGACCTAGACTTGGCCAATCAACCAAGGTGACTGGGGGCAGGGGGCCTTTGGCCACTGCAGACCTGGCCCGCAGCCCCAGGGATTCACACGGGACTAACTTCTCAGCACCCTGATGACCACACCTGTAACGTATGCAGGGTTCACTGATGCAGGGCATACCGGGTGAGTCTCATTCAGAACTCTTTCATGATGGTGGGCCCAGAGCGTATGGGCGGCATTAGCCCGCAAAGTAAACCAGCAATTTCTTCGCTGCGTCCTTGGCCGTATCTCGCGCTGCCTCAGACTCTGCATATGCTGGTCATTTCCTATTTTCTCTCAGCAGCAAGCCAACCCTCCCATGCTGGGGCCAGGGTCTGCAGAGGGCATTTGCAGCTGGCTCGCTGTCAGTTCAAAACATGGGAGGCATGAAGCACAACTGGAGTGACTGGAGGCTTCTGGGTAGGGGCCAGGAGGCTTCAGCCAAAGAAGATAGGAGCAACCAGAGCTCCCAGCTCAGCATCGTACTCCCAGTACCAGTCTGCGGCCCAGCCACCTAGTCTCTGCTCCTCAGCCCCCAAATGCACACACCAGCTGGTGGCATTCCCTTCAGAGCTCCCAATACCAGCCTGGCTCCCCTTCCAAGCCCCCAGATTCTGGTGACCTCACTTTCTACCTTTCTAAAGGCAGGAGCTCTTTCCTCCATAATATTCTGGTTTCTTCAGTGTTGCCCTTTTCCTTTTTAGCCTTCTCTGTAACAAATCCCTTGTATTAAATTCCCTCTGTTTGAAATGGTGTGGTTTCCATTTCCCTGCCTGGACCCTGCTGAGACATCATCTCCCTTGGATCCTGTTCATTTTCTAGGCCTCATTCTCCAGCCTTCCCTTGGAGGCTGTGAGATCCCCAGCATCATTCCAATCAATGCCTTTTTTGGTTTAATTTACCAGAGGTGGTTCTGCTGCCTGCAACCAAGAGCAACTGGTATCCTTGGCCAAGGTCACACAATGGATGGAGGCAGAACTGGAAGGCAGATCAAACTACTCCGCGGCCCAGATACAAGATTCTCACAGGCCATGCTGCTTCTGGGCAAACAGGTAATACAAAGCTTATTTTCAATCTTGTGTGTAGAAACAGTAACTTACACACACACATTTAGAGAAAATGGATGCAGTTTTCTACTTGGAAAAAACAAATCTGTTTTCCTACTTAGTTCAAATTATTTTCCAGCAACAGATTTACAACCTAAAGGAGAAAAGAGTTGTGGTTGGTGGGGGAACAAAGGCAAGAAGGAAATGTAGATAAAATTAAGTTTCCTTATAACGTGCAGCCCACTGACAAATACTTGAGACAGTCCTCTAGGAACTCCCAACTGTTTCAGTACTTTGCTTAGAGGGAAAAACAACCTGAGTTTGACAACAGCTAGGTCTCCAGTATCCTGTAAGTCTTTAGCATATGAAAATCCTCTTGGAAACTTCCTTTGTCTTTACCTCCCCCAACTCCAAAGTATCTAATCAATTGCTCCTCACCATCCAGGGGCAGATCTTTCTGCCCATGGGTCCTGTCCCCATGCTATAATAAAAATACTTCTTTGCACTGAAAACATCTCAAGAATTCTTCCTTGGCTGATGATTTATGGACCCCACTTCAAACCACATCAGATGGCATAAGGAGACGAGCTTTTCTATCATGTAAGAATGGGAAGGAGAGTACTCATAAACACATGGGAAGTCTTCCCCTGGTGTGGCTGGTGAGCACCTCTGACCCTGGGTTCCTAGCATACCTGGCACCTCTGTGATGGCACCTGTTACCAGATGTGCTAATGGTTGGTTTGGTGTCTATCCCCTCCCCTCCTCCACCAAGAAGAAGAGGAGGAAGAAGTTTCTTCTTATATATTAATTTCTCTCAGGAGTAAATATACCTAAACCAACTGTTAAGAGAAATTATGTGTATATCTGGGTTTTTAAAAAACTGAACAGTTATTCAAATATGGAAATAGGACATTGAAATAATAATAATGATAATAATCATAACTAACATTTACTAAGCACTTACTATGTGCCAGGCACTAAACAAAGTGCTTCATATGGATCATCTCATTAAACCTTGCAATTACCCAGTTATTGCTGCCTAGAAAAGTAAACTAGCCCAGGCACACACAGCTAGTAAGAGACAGGGGCAGCATTTGAACCCTGGCAGTCAGATTCCAGGGCCTGTGCTGGGGCTGATTTCAAGTAAGATCCAACTTGACTCTGTTAGGTCCCCAAATAAAGGACTGTTATACGAACATTATGGGCTATACTTCCTAGAGTTCGTGAGCAGGTTTCTTTAAAATCCTCAAAACTGTTTCAAGTGAGTTATAACCAACGACAGTGACAATATCCTATGACGTCTGAATAACTGTTTGTGGGTGTTATCACTGCATTTCGGACTGGTTTTAGCAGCATGCAGAGAGGACAGAGCATTCAGCAGTTCAGCAGCCCCTTCCTCCATTTGGCCAGTAGGTGGCGCCCTGGCATCAGTAAAGCACAGGCAGAGCCCAAGAGCCGACCAAACAATTTCAGAGCGGAGAGATTCCAAATTCCTCTCTTCCCAGCCCCTCATTTAAAGTTAGAGCCCTGAAGAACAGAGTCAAATGACTAGTCCACCCAGTCATTATTAATAAGTTTGGGGTGCCTCGGTGGCTCCGTTGGTTAAGTATCTGCCTTTGGCTCAGGTCAGGATCCCAGGGTCCCACGATGGGCTCCCTGCTCAGTGAGGAGTCAGCTTCTACCCCCCTTCCCCTTTTCGTGCTAGCTCGCTCTTTCTCTCTCTCTCTCAAATAAATAAATAAAATCTTTTTTTTTAAAAGTTAAAACTTCAAAATGGGCAGGTAAATGTAGGAAGCAATAAAATGTTTATTTAGGCTCATTAATGAGAAAAATGTAATCAGAATATCTGCTATCTAATAAGCACCTATTCTGTGCCTGACACTGTGCAAGACACTTCATCTAGTATCTCTAATCATCACTAGATGTGCATTGTGCATCCTTTTCCCCCTGTTTGACCTACAAGGAAACGGATGCTCAGAGAAAGTTGCAAAGCTCTGGGAAATTCACATAGCCAGTAAGGGGCAAAGTCAGGTTCCTCTGCCCAAGCCCTGCACACCTGCTTCTCTCATATGACCAAGCTGAACAGGCTTCAGATTGTTGCCATTCCCTGCCTCAGGCTATCTTTCTCTGTGCTTTTTTTCTTTTCTTTTTTCTTTTTCTTTTTCTTTTTTTTTTTTTTTTTTTGAGAGAGGAGAAGGACGTTGCCACCTGAGAGTTTGGGGGATTTGGGGGAAAACTGGAAATCCAAAATATGTTTCATTCTACTGCTTTATTATTCATGTATCAATTCAAATTTATTTAACCAAAAAAAGGTAGGGCTCTTCTCTTCCCCACCATCAAAACAATGTGAACCAAGATGAGCGTAAAAAACTCTACTTGCAGGCGCCTGGGTGGCTCAGTTGGTTAAGCGACTGCCTTCGGCTCAGGTCATGATCCTGGAGTCCCTGGATCGAGTCCCACATCGGGCTCCCTGCTCTGCAGGGAGCCTGCTTCTCCCTCTGACCCTCCCCCCTCTCATGTGCTCTCTCTCTCATTCTCTTTGTCTCAAATAAATAAATAAATAAAATCTTTAAAAAAAAAAAAAACAACTCTACTTGCTCTATGTTGACACAAGACACACTTAAGACTCTTACAATGCATTCTGCCCAGATCGTAGGATTTTAGGGCTTCTTTGCCTACATCCTAGCAACAGCTATTTGAGTGTTAATTTCTGTAAAAATCTACCTTTTCTATTAACAAACCCCTAACATGATTTTCAGCCTCCTCAGGAAACACAGTTTCTCAATTAAAAAAAAGGCAAGCAAGCACCTAGATTTCACTGTAATTGGATCAAGTTTATTAGTTCCATCATACAATTATTTTATTAAGCTCAAAAAAGATTTACAAAATTAAAAACTCTTTTACAAAAAATATGATGAAGCTTCTAGTGACTATTCAATCTTAAAATGGAGAGTCCAGTCAAATGTCAATATTTACTAATGACAGCCTTAAGTGAAATTGTCCTAGATATCATAAAGAACAACAAATAGTAGGTAAATAGCGCTTTCAGACCTTTTTTTCCTCAATGTAAGAGGGCACAATAGATGTATGGGGGGAAAAAAGATGCATATAGAGCAGTATCTTAAGTGTTTATTTCTAGATTATGTAATTATAGGTGACTTTTTCTCTATATTGCTTAAATTTTCTGTAGTGAGCATGTACCTCCTCTGTAATAAGATGAAAACACAGAATTTGGAATCAAAGAGACCTGTGTTTGAATCTACACACTGCCACTTTCTGGCTGTGTAAATCTGGGAAAGTGAGGTAACTCCTCCGAGCCTCTATCTTCTCTTCCATAAAATAACTATTACCTCCCTGAGAGGGTGGTTCTGATCCTTGAAGAGAGGATACATGTACAAAAGGCTTATCAGCCCCATTCCTGGCATATAAGCAAATGTAGCTATAATTATTTCCCAATATTATAATATGCGGCCAAAAGGAATTTTTAAAGATTTTGGCAATTAAGAAGGTACAATCTTCCCATTAGAAAATAAACAAGACACGGGGATGTAATATACAGCATAGGGAATGTAGTCAATAATAATGTAACGACTGTGTATGACAGATGGTAACTAGACTGAATGTGGGGACCAGGTTCTGATGTAGAGAAATATCCAATCACTATATTGTACACCTAAAACTAATACAATATTGTAGGTCAACTGTTCTTCAATTAAAAAAAAAAAGAATTGTCACACAAAATATTCATAGCCTTTTTTTTAAAATATTTTTTTAAAGATTGTATTTATTTGAGAGAGAGAGAGACATAGCAAGAGAGGGAACACAAGCAGGGGGAGTGGGAGAAGGAGAAGCAAGCTTCCCGTGGAGCAGGGAGCCCGATGCGGGGCTCGATCCCAGGACCCGAAGGCAGACGCTTAATGACTGAGCCACCCAGGCGCCCCTATTCATAGCCTTTTATCCACTGATTCTACTACTTAAGAATTTAGAGAGGAAAGGAGAACTACAAAGAAATGTAGGAACATTTGCCACCCATGAAAATTGAAAAAACTGTAAACAATGTAGATCTCATTCAAAAAGTAACAGCATTATGGCACAGCACTGAATAATATACAATGCAGTCATGGAAAAGTATAATGAAAAGCAACATTTACTACTATGGAAAGAAGTCTGTGATATGTTAAGTGAAAAAAGCTGATATAAGACAGTAATCATGGGGCACCTGGGTGACTCAGTCGGTTAAACGGCCAACTCTTGATTTTGGCTCAGGCCACAATCTCAGGGTTGTGAGATCGAGCCCTGTGTGGGGCTTGTGTGCTCAGCGGGGAGTCTGCTTGAGATTCTCTCTCCCTCTCCCTCTGCCCCTCCCCTCACTCACACTCTCTCACGCTCTAAAATAAATAAATAAATAAATCTTTCCTTTTTTAAAAGACAGTAATTGTGATGCTCTACTTATAAGAAAGAAAGGTTTATTTTTGTAAGTGTGTGTGTGTGTGTGTGTGTTCACTGGAAGAGGAAAAAATGTGTGCACGGAAATACAAAGAAGCAGATGAAAAGAAAATTAAAACCCCCATAATCCCACCACCAACTCCTAGCCCTAGAAAACTTGGGTAGAATTATAGGTCATTTTTACATGCTTTTTATTAATTCATCTGCATTTTGTTTTTTAATATAAGCATGTATTAACTCTCTAAAAATATCTTAAATGATTCTATAAATTACACCTCTCATCTTCTCTTGAAGAAAATGTCATAAAACACAGGAATCCGAAATGGCAAAATTCTTTCAACTTCATCAAACGAACACCCACCAACAAAGCCATGACTAAAACCATACACCTACTAAGATTTTCTGAGTCTGAGTCAGATCACTTTGCACAGAAGGCCAAAGGTAAATTGAATCAATTCTGTCTTGAAAGACCAACTGCCAGAAAGCAGTTTCCTTAGGCACTTAACATGTTCCTCCTGACAACCCAACATGACAGAGGTTAATCAATGTCTAGAACAAAATAGATTCATTAGCAAATTCATGAATGAGAAGATGTAATTCTGGCTTCAGTACACAGGCCTCCTATTTGGTAGCTTAACTCTCTAGACTTGCATTACCCATCACAGGGAAACCATGTTTCAAACAGAGTTCCCCGGAAGAGATGTCGTGGGCATGAAGTGAGAAGCACATCTGTGGAAACTCAAACAAATCAGCAAATCTGAATGCATGATTCACAATATACAATGAAACTAGCTTGTAGAATTAATACTTAGGAAGATAATGGTGATAAAAGGAGAATAAATCTAAACTCGGGGTTTCAGATTATGTTCCTTCAAAAGACTGATGTTCCAGATCTATGAACAGATAAAGAGCAAAAAAAAAAAAAGGGAGCTATTAGGTTCATAGGTGAAATTTTTTAATTTTATGTACTCCTCCCATAAATTATTCTTAAACCTTTGGTGCCTATCATTACTTGTCTTCTAGGAATGTTGGCAGATGAAAATAAATAAATAGATAATAAATATTAATGGGAAAACTCACATAGCTAATATATGTTTCATTCAAAAGACTTATTCTTTGTTTTGCTTTTTTTTGTTTTCCTGAGTATGTGTGCCCCTGTCTAAACATACACTGCAAATGAGTAATTTACTTACTGTCAGCTGGAAAGGTGTTCTCGTTGTCATAATAGAAATAAATAGATCAGTGCAGTAGCAATGTTTAGGAGCCCAGCTCTGGGATGGAGAACCAGTTCCCCCTATTACTCTGGGCATATTCCCTACTCATAAGTCTCAGTTTCTCCCTCTGCAAAATGGAGATAAGTGTATCTATATCTCATAGAGGTGAGTATTAAATGAGATAATGTGGTGCTTAGATAGTAACTAGTGCATAGCAAGTACTCAATAAATGACACCTATTGTCATCATCATCATCATTGTTATTGTTCCACATGATGTTCCCCAAAGATTACCTTGATGTAGCACTCTACCACCAAATAAATCTCAGAACCACTGATAGAATTCAATAGTCTGCTTACTAGTTTGACCAGCCTGCTTCTCAGATTCTTCTTTGATAACTGAGTCAGGTAAAGTGCCTATTTACGGCAATTTAAAAATTTTCTAGTTTTATTTATTTTTTTAGATTTTTATATTTTTATTTTATTCATGAGCGACAGAGAGAGAGGCAGAGGCAGAGCAAGAAGCAGGGAGCCCGATACAGGACTCGATCCCAGGACGCTGGGATCATGACCTGAGCCTAAGGCAGATGCTTAACCGACTGAGCCACCCAGGTGCCCCCCAAATTTTCTAGTTTTAAAACAAGATTATAGTTCTACCTACTAAACTATAATATTTAACACACTAATTACTACTGTTCAATTTTTTAATAAATAAATATTCTTTGGGGACTATTACCAAAAGAAAGGATTATCTTAGGAAATTAAAGAAGATGAACTGAAATAAATTTTTGGATGGTAAAGTAAAGAAAAACCTACCATTTTCAATTTTGCTTTTTGGATGTGGTCCACTAAATGCTAAAAATTTTCCTGGAACAATCCAGTTGAAGTCACCATTTTCAACTCGCTGGTAGAATTTTGTGAGAAAAGAGAAGAAAAATATTTTATAATTCTTATACAATTTAGGAAACCCTTACAAATAAAACTGCTTTTCACTCTGTTAGTACTATTGGATGTACATGAAGACAAAGTAATACAGCTTAAAATAAAAACATGCATCTGATTCTCAAAATGGTATTTCAATCCTCTTCAGAAAAAGCTTTACTATCTAGACTGTTTGAAAAGTTTTAAAAACTTTACTTAAAGTGGAGGTACTTTGCTTAAAATAATTTTGTCTCCTGGCTACCCTGCAATAAAATGAAATGAAAACAAACATTGCTTGTCCCCGCAATAAATAAAGGGAGAGAAGATAAAAGGAAATATAAGCACTTTCCATGAACATGGTAAACATGTTTTAAAGAATGAAAAAAAATTATAAATATCAGGGTCATAATGAACACATTTCCTTTTTTTTTTCTGTTTTTATAGGTTGCTACTGTTGTCAATGCTGATTTTTCAACTGGGAAATGGAACGAGGCAGGAGTGAAGAACAGAGGATCATCAAACTCCCGAGGTACACCACAAATGAGTCAGCCAAGGTGTCTGGCAGGGGTTGCAAACCTAAACAGCTACAAAGGCCAGGTGAGAGACATAAATAATGGCAGATGGCTCCTCAGCTCTGGCTAAAGAGTCACCCTGCAGGAAAGGCTAACTGAATGTGGCTGACCTGCTGAATGGGTTTTTATGTGAATCTCTCTATAGTTGATGTTGACTATTTTAAGTTTTTAAATAAAATGAAACCAAATAAAACACGCCTTTGGGCCGACTTTGATCACCAGTTGTCAACCTCTGGTCTACACTCCCTCTCTAAAGGATCCTCAGAAAAGGCTTGAAGACCAGGGAAGGGGCCCAGCATCCTCCCACTGCTCCATTATCTCCTCCATTTCCTTCCCTTTCCGATGTGCCTCTAAACCCCTGGAACACTGGGGCAGGGCTGAAGGTACCCCCAAGATTTGCAGGGAATTGGGACACATCTGTGCATGCATCATAAAATATATATGTATCACTTCTTCACATAAGTGTTCTTTAGCCCACCCAAAACCCTCACCCCCACCCCACCACCAGGTCAGCTTCTAGTCTCCATCTCCACCCTCCTGGCTCTCTAGCACTGCACAGATACCTCCACAGGCTGGGAAGGAAAGCAGTTCTCTTTACTGGGCCAAGAATATCCATTAAAAAAGCTTTCTTCTCCACCCCCACATGGCACATACGGTAGGAATGTGTATCAAATACAGTCTGCATTCTACTGTAAGAGCTTTTAGGTATTTGTTCAATTAATTGGAGTAACACCATCAAGGAAATTGAAGCCTCTACTTGAATTAGTTATACTACCATTATCATTTCCAATTTTCATTAAAATCAAAACTTAACTGTACAATTTCTAAGTTTAAAATGACATGTTTCCTTCCAGTTATAAAAAGTTATAAATGAAACTTTACATGACACCTTATAAATGTCTGAATTGCATTAATCTAACTATAATAAATATAATATCCCCATAATACCAGAAATAAAATCTTAGAGCTACTGAGTGTTATGATTACATATGCCAAATTGTATCTCAGGTGTAACTATCTATTCATAACGATTTGAATAAAGAATCTAATATATAACTCTTTATGATAATTAAACTTTTTCTTGTTTAAATAAAGCAGTTTCTAATGGTCCAATATCCCTCATAAGTAATTAATAAGCTTAAAACATTACTTAGAAATTCCAAAATAAATGTATGCTCTAATCATCATGCTCTAATCATCAAAAGGCCAAAGGCAATTCTTTATGAACAGTAAAAGAAAATAGGTTTCTATGTTCACTATTTCTGTATCCTTGACCACTAAGTAAGCCTAGATAAATATATTGTGCTATGTCTATTTATTTGGGTTATAGACATTTAGTTAAACAGTAACCTTTTATAAACAATCATATGGAGAAAGACAGTGGACTTACTAAGATACATTCACTCACAAAACCAAAAGAATATGTTTGCAAATCTGCCTACCCAAAAAGATAAACATTAGATAATATTGGACTACATTCAGTAGCCTGGATAAGGTTGATGGAGTAAACAATGAGATTTGGGTCTTAGATTCAAATCTGAAAAAAAAATTAATAAGAAAGTTACAGCTTTCAACTGACTAATATAAGCTTACTTCAGTAAGCTTCCCAAATTAATATTTGTGCCTTCTTTCAGTGAATTATACAAATATCAATATTTATCAATAATAAAATATTTAAGATGACACAAATTGGTTTTCTAATTAAATACACACACTTCAAAGAAATCTAGATCAGACAGGAACTGAAGGTACTTTCCAACTCTACCATATTTTACAAACATCTCAGCAAGGAGGAGGCAAGAGGATGGTTTTACCTCTTACATTCCAAAGCCTACTGCCTACCAAGTACTATGTAGGAAAACTGCACCTGTTCTTCACTATAAGGAAATAAAATAAAAATAAAAATTTGAATTCCTGAAACTGATATACTTAAGTGTTAATACTCACTTTACTATAGGATTCTTCAGTCTACAAAAGATTCAGTCTACAACCAGATTTCTTTGAAATAGGTAATTCTGTTGATGCATTTAAATATAATTTGGGGGGACAAAGAAATCAAGGTTGCTTACAAAGTAAATAACAGTATTAAAACTGAAAAAAATTAAAAAGTAAACATAATTTGACTTGAAAACATAAATTTTTACAACTTCTAAGAAATACTTCTATGCCGCTAAGGCATGCCTCTGTTGTAATGGTCAGAAATATATTTTTCAGTCCCAATACTGAAAATCATTTGGCCTTTTACCATTGTAATAAACAGACAGTAAAATAGGAAAGATAGGCCTTGAGGTCAACAATTACAGGATTGATTCCCTTACTCCGTCACGTGCAACTCACTTCATGCTTACAGCAGCCCTATGAGGTGGGTGTTAGCGCCATCTTGTACCCATTGCCATAGACCAAAAGTTTGTGTCCCCTCAAAATTCATATGTCAAAACCTAATCCCCAGTATGATGATATCTGGAGGTAGGGACTTTGGGAGGCAGTTAAGTCATAAGGATGGAGCCCTCATGAATGGGATAAGCGTCCTTATAAAAGAGAGCCGAGAGAGTGCGCTTGCCCTTCTACCATGCGAAGACACAGGGAGAATATGGCCACAGAAGAAGGCCACCAGACACCACATCTGCTGGTGCCTTGACCTTGGATTTCCCAGCCTCCAGAACTGTGAGAAATAATTGTTTATTGTTTAAGCCACCCAAAGCATGGTATTTTTGTTACAGAAGCCCAGATTAAGACACCAATTAAAAAAAAAAAAAGTTGCATTACACTTTGAAAAGAGCTATAATAGAAGTATTTAAGAGGTTTAACAATGGCACAAGGCTATTTGAAAAATCAAAAAGACAGAACTACAAAGTTTCCTTTTATTCATTAAAAAGTACCTTCCTTATGTTTCCCTAACTTCTAAAACAATAAAATAGTGTTGATGGTGTAGTTGTATTACATAAATGCAAATATGCTGCAGTAATAGGCACTTTACGTTCTTAAAGCAAAGTAAATATTTGAGTTATTTGGTTTAAATTAAAATGCCATGCCATCTGGCTTTAGATAATTAAACTCTAGATTATTAATTTAGATTTGCTTCTGAGAGAGACAGTGTGGTGGAGGGAAAGAGGAGGGCCCCATGTGATGACTGTTCCACCTCTGCTCACTCCAGCTGGGGTAGGGAGACCCGGCTGGTAGAACCCTTAGGGGACTGTTCCAGCCGCTCAGACCAGATGCAGCCGCAGGCAGCAGGAACCCAGGGCACATATGCAGGTGCTGTTGCTCAAGACATGGCAATTTGAGGTCACAAGCACATATACAATTGTTGAAACTTGGAAGCAGGTGCCCTCACTCGCAGAGTGTGTTCAGCCACAAACCCAGAGCCCTAGAGAAGGGCAGCATTTCAGGTGGGCAAAGGAAGAGAAAGTGCTTGCAAAGGAGACTGAGAAAGGTGGCCAGAGATGCAAGGAAGAGAAAAGCAAGAGATGGAACCTTAGAAGTTAGGGAACGAAAGGGAGTGTCCAGAATTAGAAAGTGGCCACAGAACAAATCAAGTAGGAAGGAGACCGACACAACCACCTGGTTTGCCGACTCTTCGATGAGCAAGGACAGTTTCATGAGACTCACAAAGGTAAAGGCCAAACCATAACCAAATGACTGACTGACTAATAACAGAGTCAAGACTGCTCTGTTAAGAAGCTTGGAAGTAAAAGAAGGGACAGAAACCAAACAGCAATTAAAGAGGAAGAAAAAACCATGGGAAATTCTTAGACAAGGTAGACCTCAAAACATTTTGTAGTGTTAACCAACATGATCTTTGAACCAGCATTGGGTACAGTGGATTCATAGATGTGGCAACACTGGGTCCCTCCGCATTAGCAGCTGCAGTGTCCAGGAAGGAGTTCTGCCTCCTTGAACTTGTAGCCTTTGGAGTGGTATAATCAGTCTTACAGGATAGCTGCAGGGAAATGCTTCTAACAGTTCTTTGAGTAGTCCCATCCCTGTGGGAGGCATACCTCCACAGTTCCTCCAGGTGGTGAGGATGTACTCACCTACCTGCCTTCTGGAGCCTGCTTAACTCCAGTCCTACGGCAGGAATTTACAGTAACAAGGGCGGAAATCCCCAGGTTTCCAGTTCTGTAATCCATGAACAAGAGGGCAGACCAAGCAAGCAACACCCAGCTTACATTCTGGTTTGGTAGACAAACTCTAATCCCAAGCAAAGCCTTGAAATATCACACCTCAGGTGTTCAACAGCCGTAACTCCTGCTGTTGACCTGAGATGGCAGATTGAGCAATGGGAGACCTAACCTTCGGGCTCAAGGTACGTACAGAAGGCCATCCTCGGGAGTCTATAGCACCCAGTCAGTTTGACAATTTACTTACTAACTGCAATGAAGGAGAACATAATCTACCTGGAGACAGTCTC